CTTACTTCATAATACTTACTCATTCTCCAGATATCAAATACTTAACAAGTAATGAAAAAGATCATTATTTGAATCAGGTACACCATAACCTTCAAACTGATGTCATTGTTCCTCAGTAACTTGGGAGTTATTTGTCCAATGCAATATGTCTCCTGATCTCTTGACTGCTGGTACCAAGGAGGTTGATTGTAGATACAAGTAAGATGAAATTGTTGACAATTTCAATCTTTTATCCATCCATCAAGATATTGCCTATTGGTCCAGTTGTGAGAATTTCTGATTTCCTGAGATAAAACCCATATTGAAGGTTGTATTCTTTGATCTCCTGCAGCAAGAATTTAATTCCTCCTCTTTTAGCAAGCAAAGTGTGCCATTTGTATAACCTAAGCCTGTTAATGCCACAAATGACGGTAATACATAGAAGAAGAAAAAATGTGTTTCTAAGCACGGCTGTCAATTTAAAAGTGTGCAGCAACATGTTAAGGAGTCGTCCTCTGATCTTGATACTGTATTCTTCTTCATAGAGTTCAGCTTCTCGAATGATTTGCTCAGTGTACAGATTAAAGAAGTATGGAGAAAGAATACAACGCTGACACACACTTTACCTAATTTCAAACCATGCAGTGTTCCTCTGCTCCGTTTGGACAAGAGCTTCTTGGTTAGGTAAAGGTTTCATCTGAGCATAATTAAGTATTCCAGGATTCTCATACTGCTCAATGTTAACCACAATTTGATATGATCCACAGAATCATAGATAATATCCCATGAATGGATAGCTTTATCCTGGCAAAAATTTTTTATGAAGGTTAAAATTAGAACATCACATAATTTTTCTATGTTACAATCATTTTTAGATCACAGGATGTGCAAAAAGAATTATTTGGCACATCTCCCACCTAGGTTATAGATAACTGATACCTTTTATCATATTTATAATATCTCAATTAAATATGACCCACATATGCATATTACTTACTCTAAACTCTCCTCTCTCAATTGCCATCTTCAAAGCTAAAATCCTTACATTTATTGCCACAGAAAATGAAGTAAAAACATTGACTTTAAAACACAAAACCAAAAACCCAGAATCCAAAACAAATTCATTGGCAAACATGTGAGGGATCAGAAAAGCTGAAATTGGGAGTCTCTTAACTCTGGCTTCATTATATTTTTTAAATCTCCAAACACTTTCTTATATATTTATGAACTAATATTAAAGATTAAAACTATATTTTCCTTAAATAATTTTGGGAAAGTATAGCATTCTTATCCATTTCAACTTTTAGTGTATACCAACTGAGCCAACCTACTTTTCAGTTCTGACTTAGTCAAGAAAAATAACATTTGTAACAGGAAGATTAGGTAAACAAGCCATCCATAAATATATACATAGGCTTTGTCATGGAGAGAGGGATATTTTTAAAACATGATTCACTTACTGAAGTCATGTCTTACTTGTTGACATTTCTAAATAATGTTAATTTTATTCCACAACACAAAAATAACCATAAAACCAGCAATTTCTTTACAACCTGTGTGAAATAAAAACATTATGCCTTAATTTACCCATTTAGCATAACTGCTCTCCAGGCTACTGAAGAGCAACAGTGTCAGTCTTGAGACTAAGGTGAACCTGATCCTGAGAATTACAAATATGCATCAGAAAGCTGTATAACCTATAGTAAGAATGTCCCTCTAAACAGTTGTACCATGTAGTAGAACAATTACTCTCTTTTGACTCAGATATTTTGTCTATTCTTTTTCTTTTTGCTTGTTTTAATAGTTAGACAACTTAAAAGAAAAAAAGAAAGCCAGACAATGACTAGAAATGACAGAAGGAGAATTGATGCCTTGAGCTGTGGTGCTAGAGTTGAGTACCGAATATACTATGGACTGTTAAGAGAACAAACAAGTTCGACCTGGAGAGGGTGGAAAAGGCTGTTTTTGGAGGCAAGGATTCTGAAGCTCCATCTAACATACTCTGGACATGCTGCAACGAAGGACCAGTCCTTGGAGAGGGACAGTATGCTTGGGAGGATGGAGAGACAATCAGGAGGGAAGGACCCTCAATGAGATAGACTGACTCAGAGACTGAGATAATGGGGGCAGGTGTGTCAGAGAAAATAAAGCTGGCTCAGGACAGAGAAGAGTTCAGAGCTGTTATACACAGGGTCACTATTAGCCATAGGTGACTTGATGGCACATAACAACAACAGCAACTCCAAGAAAAACTCAGTAGAAATTAATGTCAATTCATCACTTCTCTGTGTTAAAAGTATGAAACTAGAAAATAGTTTCAAACTCTGAATCATTCAAAATCTCTATTAATTTCTAAAATTGACCTCAATGAGACAATCTTTTACACAGGTGACTTAGAAAAGAATTTTACAAATTCTAATTTATTGGCTATCAAGTACAGATAAAAGCACGGTTTATATCCTAATAATAAATGTAATACTAGCATTCACAATAACAGCTATTATTTATGTACTAGTCACCCATATTAGAAATAATAAATGGATTAAATTAAGAATATTAATAAAATTAAACTTTTTTAAACCTAGATTTATACCTGGGGGTGGGGGAAAAAAGACAACGATTTCCTTCATTAAGAGTCCACAAATGTATGAAATGGTAACAACATGCACAAATATTTTCTTTAATGGGTCAACATTAAGCAATAGCCTAACATGAAACAATATAAACTCCAAGACCTTTGGCATTTAACTATTATGGGGCCACCATCTATTATTTAGTTGTTTGCTGTTCTAATGTTTCCTAATGCTAAGGAAATGTGGACATAATAATGTATGAACTTGACATCACAAATTTCATTAATCTTCACTTGTCATCCCTATCATCTGTGTGTCTAAGGGTTATCATTCAGGTGTCTTTGCTAGACAACCATTAACTGTTTCTTTTGTGCTAAAATATTCACTGTATTAAGGAGAGAGGATTAAGATGGCATACAAGCCTCTATTAGAGGCTTGTGTTATTACACTAACTAGTTGATACTGAAATATTTCAGGAAGAAACATCAAGAACAAATGGTGATAAATGAAAGTCAAGCTGGTCAGAAAGCATAGAAAAAAAGAAAATCCCAGGAATTGATGGAATACTAACTGACATGTTTTTACAAACAAATGCAGTCCTGGACAAGCTGACAAGGCTATGACAAAAAATCTAGAAGACAACTATCTGGCCCAACTGACCAGAAGATATCTATATTTTTTCTATTCCCAAGAAATGTGATTCAAAAGAACGTGGAAATTTTTTAAAAGTATCATTAATACCACATGCAAGTAAAATTCTGAAGATTACTCAAAAAAACTACAACAGTACACTGAAAGAATTGCCAGAAACTCAAGCTAGATTTAGAAGCGCCTGCAACACTAGAGCTATCACTGATGTCAGATATATCTTTGCTGAAAGTAAAGAATACCAGAAATATGTCTGTGGTTTATTGACTATGCAAATGCATTTAACTGTGAATATCACAACAATTTATGGCTAACAATGATATGAATAGGAATCCCAGGACACTTAATTGTGCTCATGTGAAACCTATACCTAAACCACTAAGCTATTGTATGATCAGAGTAAGGGAACACTGAATGATTTAAAAATCAAGAAAATTGTGTATCCGGGTAGAAAAGGAATGACGGGACATGAGGGTGGTGGCCAAGTCTGACATCTGCCAGCTTCATAAAGGTGAACGGCTCCTATCAGTAATATCCATACCAATAAATAGATAGCTGCTATGGCAAACATACCACTTCCTATGCTTCTGCATCTCTTTTCACCAATCACTGGGTTCAATATTCATTGCTGACTACCAGACTTTATTTCTAATACTCCCTTGCCATAGAGTCAGCCATGGGTTGGTTCTGACCACCTACCTCCATTTCTATGGGTTGGTTCTGACTCGATGGTATACAACAACAACACACACATATATATAAAGTATATATTGTTACTGTTCTGTGCCATGGAGTCAACCAAGCACTTTTAAATTAGTGGATCCCTTTATTAAGCTATGATTTAGAAACAAACTGTAGGAATAATTGAAATAATTGAATTTTTTACCTTTACAATATAATACCATCTCAACTTAGCTCATTTCCAGTGTTGGAAACAACTAATAGTTGATCCTACAGCCAGTATTTTGAGAATGTAAGTTAAAAGAAGGACTTTGCTTATCTCTCTACATCAGCAAGACAAGTACCACCTTTGTGTTAGTAGCACAATCCCCTGTGGATTATACCATCAGAGCTTCCTAATGTAAGACTATACTAATTTTTCTTATAAAATAGAAACCCATGTTATTTCTCTTCTAATTATTTTGAAAGCAGCTGTTAGGCAATGACTTCTAGAATGTTGTAGATGATAGTTCCTGTCTAGTACTAGATAGACATTTAGGTTTATCTGGATAAAAATGCTAAAAAGTTATCAAAAAGAATTAGTGAAATGAATTCTAATTATAAAATGCTGTTAAGTGAAGTTGAGTTGGAACCAACCCAAAGCTGGCTCAATGCATTTTCAGCAGCAGCTAACTGTATGGGAAGAGACTGCCCATCTTTCTCCTACAGAACACCTGGTAGCTTCTTACCACCTGGCCACCAGAGCTCCCGAACTATAAACTAGAAACTAAAAAAACCCCAAGAACATCAATTCTCTAAAGAAATAGACTAAAAGTGTATGTGATCTAAAGACTAGGAACGAGAAACTAACCATTACTAGTTTTATTACTACTGAATTTAAAGTAATAGACACAGGGAGAAGATTTTCTTTGTCCTTTTCATTCCTTTGACCCCAAGATGTTTCAATCCTAACACAGCATCCTCTAAATGAAAATCCTGATTCAGAGCAAATTGACAAAGCAAAAACAAACACACAAAAAACAACCAATCAACAAAAAAACCCAAAAACCACCTTAGAGTCAAATGACACAGTCCATGATTTTACAAACCTCTCAAATGTTGGAATGAACTCTGTCTTACCTTATCTATCCTATCCGGGCGGTTAGTAGCAGCCAAAATAGTCACATCCTTTAATTGTTCAATCCCATCCATTTCTGTTAAGAGCTGGGCCAAAACACGGTCTGCTACATTCCCAGCACCTGAAGAGCTGATTTTAAAAAATACCGTTTTAAAATCTGTTTTGGGATGAGTGAGAAAGAGTTATGTCTATATTTTTATTATTTTAAATGGTTATATACTCGATAACAACAGAAGACATGTTGTAAAATATAATATTCATATTTGAGATTCATAACTAAAATACAAAGCCCCCTCAAAGCTGTTAGTTTCTTTTCCTTCACCATCATTTGTGATGGTTTTTAATTGCTCGTTAATACTAAACTGCTGAATGAGCATTGGATATCAGAGCTTTTAAGCTCTGGAAAGCAGAATATAGTATTATTTAACATGGATAACCACTACAGAAGAAATTACTTCATTTGACCAATACTGGTATCTTATATGACAAGTAGATTGAAAGAAACTAAAAAAATGAGTACGATACAAGCCCTATGGACATTAAGCTTAGATTACGTTACTGTTTATTTTAAACTTAAAAATCATGTAAAAATTGAACATTTCTTACTAAATTTTAAAATAATTAAAAGCAAATTAGCAAGTATAGTCATAAAAATTATTTCATTTTTTCTCAAAATATGCAAAGAGAGATTGTTATCGTCATTTTGTTCTTAGACCAACTAAACTATAAAGTCACCAACACAAGAAATCTTACTCTTTTTTTCGTTTGTCCAACACACATAAAATTTACTGAATATTTATTTGTAAGAAGTAAATGGAAACTTCTGATAAAAAACAAAGATCAATTAAAACTTCCCATGAAAATACAGGAACTATTAGCACGGAATGACAAAGCAAAATATTACAATGAAATGTGCGAGGAGCTAGAGTCGGAAAATCAAAAGGGCCGAACTCGTTCAGCATTTCTTAAGCTCAAGGAACTGAAGAACAAATTCAAACCTCGAGTTGTTTCAATCAAGGATGCTTTAGGCAGAATGTTAAATGATCC